AGCACTGGGGACTGTCCCCTGGTGCTCCTTCTTGCCCACCCCAGTATGTAGCACCAGACAGGATCCTTCTTCCCAAACAGCAGCTGGAAAGACAGACAGCCCTCGGCCCACTTGCTGATCTGTGAGATGGCATCTGATCCTTCAGGGACCCCCCACCTGATGCCTGGCCTGGACGAGTCTGGGATCAAGCGGGGGGCGGGGGTCCAGGGTGCTTATATGGGCTTGTCCCAACACTTTCTCTGGAGGTTTGGCTTCTGGATTTATCTGCGTGGTGCTGGTCAAGTGTCCAACCTCAAGACAGCAGACCCGCAACTATTCATTGAGCAGATGAGGGACAGTCGCCCCATGTCTTGGTGGCAGAGTAGACACGGGCCTTCATATGCAAAGAGTGGGAACTTAATGAACACTCCCCACTCACACACCTGGAGTGGCTTTCAAGTGGCAGGTCATGTTAGAATCAAGGAATCAAAGATATTTGAAGCCAAGGGCCCCAGTCCCTAAAGACCCTCCGACCCAGTGCTATTGAGTTCCGCCGCCCCTGAGCCTCAGGAGGCAGCTCTGGAATATCAACACCCCGGCCGCATCCCAGACAGACAAGACCAGAATCTCCAGGGAGGAGCCTGGGCACGGGTCAGTTTTTAGAAGCCCCCGAGTGGATCCAGTGTGCGTCCAGGCTGGAGAGCCCCTGATCTAATCCATTTAATCCGTGATGGGCAGCCGCCAGGAGCCGAGCTGGTTCCTAAGTTGCACACTTGCTCCTGTGAGCCCTGGTGACACCAGCCCTGACCACTCACCCCTCCAGAATGGTGGGTGAGACCCATCTCCTGGCACCAGCCTCTCCTGCCCCGTCTCCAGCCAGCTCCCAGCCTCACCCTGACTCTGGCCACAAACTCCTCCCGGGTCTCCTATGTGCCCCAGCTCCGGCTGCTCTGTCTGCACCGCCATCCCCTCTCCTTGTCACATGAAGTCTGCTGTGACCCACGCACGTGCCAGCTCCTTGTGGAGCTCCTCCACGTGCACCCCGCCAGGAGAGGTGCTACTCACAACCAAAGTCCCATAACTTTGCAAAAACCTGTCACCCAGCACTCAGATGCTAAGGGGCCCTCTTCCTGTGCCTTTCCCCGTTTATTCTAGAAATGTCTGCAGAAGAAGCAGATTTTTCAAGCAATGCTCCAAAAGCTCCTTGGGTGGGGGCTGGGAGATTGCCCACCCTGGGCTCGACCCTGGGCAGACTTTCACCAACCCACACTTGCAATTGAATCAACGAGCCCAGCATCCACCTGTCACCAGAGTGTGCCGTCCCACAGCAGAGTTCCTGCGGTGACGCCTGCTTAGCCTGGCTCAGCCAGGAGAAGAAGGAGCCTCCTCTGCAGAGCCCAATATAAGGTTCCGTACACAACATACGAATCCGCAGTTGCCTAGCGGGACACCTCCTGCGCCTTCCCTCCAGCCCATACGCCCTGTCTCCTGCCTTTGGTCCAGAGCACACCCCAGGCCTCAGCTTGAGCAGCTAGGAAGGAGACTGCAGGGAACGTTGCTCCTGGGGGAGACAGAGTGCTGCTTCCCCTCTCTTGTGGTCTAGCCAGGCCAGATGGGCCCATTCTGTCATTCAGCAGCTGTGTGATCTTGGCAAACCACTCGACCTCTCTGAGCATCCGTTAACTGATCAGGGAAATGGGGTTGTCAGAGACCTTCCTCTGGGTTGTTGTGAAGACTCATTGAGGGGCTGGGGATGTTGGGCTTCAGGGGGCCCACGGGCGGGCGGACCAGGCGGCAGGCGGACCAGGCAGCTGGCGAGGCTGAAGGATGGGTGCGCCTACCCCGCGGACAGGAGGGGCAATTATGCCCTATTCATGGTGACAGCAGAGCCCTGCCCTGGGCAGAGCCGAGCCCCGTGGCCCACAGATGGCTCGGCCCACAAATATGCACTTGGCAGCCCCTGAACTTTGGGTGACTTGACGCCAGTTGATCTGATGGGCAATTACGATTTATTTTGGGGCCAGGGAGGCAGCAGAGAACCAGGAAAATTACAAGACATCAGAGTGCAGCTCTGCTAAGAATACCATCGACTACACGGGATTTTTTTTTTTTTTTTAAAAACAATTGTTGTCTTATGGTTAGGGGTTTGCAGGGCACTGAAATAAGAAAACCCTGAAGCCAAAATCAGATTACAGGCAATTCTCCCAAGGGAGGTATGAACCTTGGTCCAGTGACACTCTGGGATTATGCTTATTTGGGAGAAGTATCAAGGGAGGCAATTCCTGCCAGGAGAACTTTGCTAGCAACAGTGAGCACAGCGTAGAGGTATTTGCAGTTTGTTCTGGTTTGTCTTTAGTAGTTCTTGCTGAGTTGTTGAGGCTGGCCTCGAACCTGCAATCCTCCTGCCTCAGCCTCCAGAGTTGCTGGGAACAGAGGCGAGCGCCACCACACCCAGGAATAATGTTAAGTTTTTTTGTCATATAAAATAAATGGTCCTCCTGTCATCATCCCATGTCAAACCCAAATAACCTGTCAGCACAGCCTCCCCCAGGGCCACTTGGAGGCTTCGCGTGGGAACGGAACGCAGTTACAACCCGTCGAGGAAGCCAGCTTCAGAAAAAACATCCCAAGGAAACAGGGCCATCTTCCTGCAAGGACGTCTCCCCGCTGCCAGCTGAAGGGGCCGAGGACATGCCCGAGCCATCCTGGAAGAAGGACAATGACTCACCCATGTACATCCTCACCAATGACGTCCCGCCCACGTCCTGGGCCAGGGCTAAACGAACTTCCCATCTGGAGGACACTCAGCGCCCCACCCTAAGGACAAGATGCCGTCCACCCAGAGGGTCGCTGCTCCTCTGACGGATTTACGAGGCACCAAGCGGTCGGCCCTGGCCGTCAATCACGCGTGGCAATCCTGATAGCGAGGCCCCCTCAGGGGAGCCGAGCCCGCGGCCTCACCACCCTCCTGCGCCTGGCCCCGAGCTCCATGCGGAGGCTCACACTCCGGAGGACAGAAGCCACCAAGTCAGGAGCAAGTGGACCCAGCAGTGGACACCCACGGGGGCCCCTGAGCAGGACACGCACCTCGGGTGGCCCTGCAGGGTGGGCGTGATTCACCCCGTATTATAGATCAGGGAGGGCATCTCAGAGGGGCTGTGTGACCTGCCCGCGGTCACCCCGTGGGGGAATGTGGACACCAGGCTGTGAACCCAGTCTGGCTGTGAGCACTTGTAATACCGAAGCCACCCTTGTGACCTCACCGATGACGGGCCATGCCGCCTCTGACACGTCAGAACAATCGAATTCTCCCAACTTCCCAGAGAGATGTTCAGGTGGGAACAATCTGCAGGGGCCCCCCGGTGGCTGCAGGTCACACAACGAGTCAGAGGGGAGCAGGGGCCGGAGCCCAGACGTCCACTCTTTCAACCACAGATATTCAGGGACCTGCCCTCAGCCAGACGCCCTGTTAGGTGTGGAGGGCCCAGGACACGGGCACGGGCCTCCCACTCAGAGGGGACTCCACCAGAAATAGTCTGCCCGGGACATCCTGCGTCCCTCGTCACCGCAAGATGTCCACCAAAAGACGGGAATGGTGAGCATCTGAGTGGCCTGCATGGCTTTCAACCTGGCTTGTCAGAGACCCCGGGAGCAGTCAAAGCCTGGTCCCCTCTTCCTGGAGACGGTGGTGTCGACAGGCTGGGATGCCGGCCAATAATGGTCAGGTCACGGGCCACGAAAGGAAAGGGCAAGATCACATCCCCCGCGGGGTCACCCGGAGCCCAGCAGAGAGGCTCTGGCAGGACTGGGTTTGTGGTCAGGGGGTTCATCTGGCCAAGTCGCACCCAGAGCCCCGAGGTGGGTGGCAGGGCCCGGGTCAGCCGGATCAGGCCACCAAGCTGCTCAGACACGGGGCCCACGCGCTCAGAAGGGAGTGGAGGAGGGAGGCCGGAGAGGGACGGGGACGAGACACTTCCTAGCCTTGTGTCCTTGAGTCCAGCATCCTGGAAGGCCGAGCCACACCCCGCCCCTTCCCCCAGTTCTCAACCTCAGCCAGGGTTGTGCCTGTCCCCAAGTGGGGATTAACGCTCCTCCAGAGGGCCAGCCAGGGATTTCCACATCAGGACCCCACACCACGGGGCCGTCGCCATGGTGACCGGCCACCCCGACTCCACTCCTCTCTGTCCACCAGCCACACGACTCTTTGGTGGAAGCTTTTTGTTGTTATTGTTCTTTTTTGTTTTTATTTTGCTCCAAAAGCAGCTCATTTCATAACCGACCCCAGAGGCCACGTTTGTGCCTCATTCAATGAAGGACTCAGACTGACGGGACCCTCTTTAGCAGGAGGTCCCCACACACAAGGGACGCGTGGGAGAGAGGGCCTGCCACCCCCAGCCTGGGGGAGGCTCCTCAAGCCCTCAGCCCGGGGCTACCCCTGTGCAGCCCGAAGGTCTGAGAGCAGAGGCCGGCCCCCGGGGGCCTCTAGGCCAGCACCCCGGGGCCTCTGTTCACTGTCAACATTTCTTACCAGGTTCCCAAGTGTCCCAGGTTGAGCGTCCCCTCTTCAAATGCCTGGGGCCAGAGCATTTCAGATTGGGATTTTTTCAGATTTTGGAACACCTTGCCTAGACCTCACAGGTAACCTGGGGCTGGGACAATTCTAAACACGACCTCATTTGCACTTCAGATGCTCCTCAGACCCAGAGCCTGAAGGGACAATCTTTCCAATGCACCTGCACTGTGACTGTGACGGGTCCCAGGAGGTCGGGAGTAGAATATTCCCATTTGTGGCACCATGGCCATGTCGGGCTCCCAAAGTTTCAACTGCAGAGCGCTTTGGATGTCAGACATTCAGATGAGGGTGCTCAACCTGTGCTGGAAACCGGGACCACTGCAGGGCGACGGAGGGCGGTTTCAAGTCTCCCCAGTCCATCCTTTGGCAGTTTCTCTGTCCCACTTCCCCCACCCCCAAACCGCCACATGCTGACCGTCAGGAGAGCACAGAGGCGCCCCAGGCTTACCTGGATCGGGTTGTAGAGCTCCTGCAGGGGACTCCGTGACCCCTTTCGACAGCAGATGTCCACACCAAAGGGATCCCTCCGCATGACTGAGGAGAGAAAGCGAAGCTGGTCAGGAAGGAGGCAGAGGCACCCAGGAGCGGGGAGAGACTGGGGCGCAGGCAGCTCCGAGCAACGAGGGCTCCTCGTGCTGTCCCTGGACCCCAAGAAAGAAAAGGGACGCGGCTGCCGTGTCCCAGGCAGAGGGTCTCCCGGCCAAGTCCGCGGGCAGAAGCGGTTTGCCTGGAAATAGCCGGAGCTGTGCGGAGCCCTCTGCGACAGGCGGGGCCGCAGGGTGGCCCCAGCATCACCACAAACAAGCGCGCGACAGGCTGCACGAGCTTCGGTGGCAGTGACGTCACCAGGCAGTAGGCACGCTTAGCTCTGTCACGACCTTCCGCGGCCCGACGCTGACCTGGACGTCATCGCGCAGCCCAAGGCCACTAAGGACTCCGCGGACGGTCCCCCTGTGGACCTGGACCCCTGGCACTTGGTGTCTGGACGTGCCCCAGGGTTCTCCTCCCACCCCCGCGTGGCCCGGAGGCCTGGCCTCTCCTGAGCCTCTTGTTATGATGTTATGTTTTCATTAAAATATCAGCTGTGGCCGAGGGAGGGAGGGAGGGAGGGAGGGAGGGAGTTTGGTCCCGGGCGGGCAGAGATGGCCAACCCAGGGGTCAAAGGGGGGGACAAAGAGAACTCCTCCAATCCCACCAGCACCCAGGCCACCCAGACAGGGTTTTTAAACAGAAATGGATTCTTGCTCACAGACACCCTGGCTCTGTGCTGTCCCTCACCAGGGCCTAACGCACAGACAGGCCTGGTCATTAACCGTTGTGGCAGCGGAGGAAAGGAGAGGGGGAAAGAAGGAAAGACGGGCCGGCCACAGTGGTGCAGGCCCGTGATCCCAGCAGCTCAAGAGGCTGAGGCAGGAGGATCGCGAGTTCAAAGCCAGCCTCAGCAACGGTGAGGTGCTAAGCAACTCAGTGAGACCCTGTCTCTACTTAAATACAGAATAGGGCTGGGGACATGGCTCAGTGATTGAGTGCCCGGAGTTCAATCCCCGGTACCCCCCCAAAAAAAGAGGGGGGGAAGATGAGGGAGGAATATTGAATAAGTGCTTTCTTCCAAAATAGGAGGCAACTTTCTAATGCAATCATATAATAGGGGCCAGAGTGGAACAAGGAAAATAGACCCTTTCCTAAGCCTAAAGGAATCACCCGCTATACAGTGACAGCAGAGTACACAGTAGGACATCCCCTCGTTCTTTGGAACAGACAGCCTGGACTTGAATCCTGGCTCTACCATATATTGGCTGTGTGCCTTTGAACAAAGTACCTAGCCTCTCTCTGCCTCAGTTTCTATGGGGAATGGCCAGGGCCGAGCACCAATCAAAGTGGATTTACAGCTGTGCGTGGTGGGACATAGCCACTCAGGAGGCTGAGTCAGGAGGATCCCAAGTTTGAGGCCAGCCTCAACAACTCAGCAAGACCCTGTCTCAAAATAAAAAATGAAATGGGCTGAGGATGTGGCAAAGTGCCTCTGGGTTCAATCCCCAGTACCCAAAAAAAAAAAAAAATCATTTAAGGACAGTAGCGTCTGAATTTCAGATACTTTTCACATGTCAGGAAATATCATCCTTTTGATTTATTTCAACTGCTTAACAAACACCGGCAGGGGGCTGCATTTGGCCCCCAGGCCCCAGTGCACCAAGCCCTGCCCTGCAGAACCACCCCACGTATTCCGGGGTCACAGCTCCACACACGCCCTGCCTGGCTGGCCGCCTTCCCAGGATCCGCAGGCAAATGTCAATACATAAAAGCCGCTGGAACGTGACCAGGCTGACCAGGGGACACTGGCTCTTTGTTCCTCCACGGCTGCCCCCAAGAAGAGGCAGGGGAAAGTCTACCTTGTGTTTTTCTTCATTTATGACTTCATTTTTCATTTCCACCAAAGAGGAGGTAAGCTGTTAAACGCACGCCAGTCACCCTTGGTGCACAACGACACAGCAACACTTCGGAGGAGAAAAAACAGCCGTAAAACTTGTAAAATCGTGCCCACGCCATGCAAGATTAAGTTCTCCCTGTGGCGACAGACTGGCTCATCGGGGCCCCGGGCTGCGGGACGGCCACCGTGAAACCCTACCGTGGAATCCATTAAAAGTCTGCTTTTTATGGAAGGCAGTATTATTTAATTGGTTTATTTTTCTAATGCAAAGGCCTTTAAAATGCTTTGACCGTGTGGGGCCTGCGACTTGGGGCCTGCGACTTGGGGCCTCTGCCTGCAGCCCTGCCTGTGACTCCGCGGGGCGCCCTGTGAACTGGCTTTGGCACCCCAGGTCTCAAAAGCCAGAGGGGCCCTGAGCGCTGTTTATTAAGATGATAACAGTCCTGCTGTTGGCGGCGTGGGGCGCTCTGGGCGCCTGGGAAGAGGAGTCCTTCCCACAGCGCAGGGAGGATTTCACAGAGGTGACGTCATAGATCTCCTCCTTGAGTAAGGTCAAGGCCTCGTCTGCCCAAAGCCACTTGTACCTGGTGGGTGCAGCCCGACCTGTGAGCCCAGGGCCACCTCCTGTCCCTGCTCAGCATGGCTGGGGGTGTGGCTCAGTGGTGGCGCACCCCTGGGTTCAATCCCTGGTACCCCCCAAAATAATCCCTGTACCTTTGCAGCACAGATGTGAAATTTTTTGCTATTTTCCATCCTTGGTGGATGGGGTCCCTGGTTGTGGCCGACAGAACTTGCTGGAGTCTGAGCTTTTACGCTGTGTGTGTGTCTTGGGACAAGGGACATCAGGGCAGGTCCAGAGGCCGACCAGCAGGCGGTGGCCGTCAACGTAGAGAGCACTCGAGTTCGGCTCACTGACCCTCACAGGGGTCCTACTGTGAGGAGCGGGTGCCACTGATGTCTCCTTTTTACTGTCCCCTCTTTACCCAGGGGAGGGCTGGGGCTCAGCGGGGTTAGCTCAGTCACCCAGGGGTCAGGCTGAGCGGTCAGGCACAACGCTGGACCACAAGTGAGGGCCATGGAAACGTCTCCATGGTTCCCTCCTGGCCTGAGGCCTGCTGGCTGGCCACGTCTAGGACCGGTGGTCCCTAGGCAACCTGGAGTCACAGGGCACACGGGCAGGACGGGCTGGCCAGACCACGGATGGCCACGATGGCAGAATCATTCGCTTAATAGATGTTCATCGAGCGCCTGCGAGAGGCTGGGCTGGGGAGGCAGGCCGTCCCCGGGTCACTCAGCTTGCCTGGGACCCAGCAGGTCCTCCAAAGGCCCCCGAATGTTCCAGGCCATCAGCACTGGTCAGGGCACCGCGCGGGACCGTTGTGCTATACGTGGAGGGAGCTGCTGGGGGTTATTTTCCCCCTTTGAAAGTGTAAGGCCTGATGATCGAAAGCCCGAGGAAAGAGACCCCAAGGACATCAGTGGGGACCTCCTGCCGTCCGCCCACCCCGACAGTCATTTTCTCCTTTCTCAACACGCAACAACGAAAGGCCCAGGAACCTCGCAGGCTCCGTGCGCAGCGCGGCTTCTGGGACCCGAGGAGCCCAGCGTCTTCCCGAAGCTAAAGCGAGACCCCAGCCGCGGGTTTGTGGCACCAGGATGAAGAGGGCACCGCCTCCGGGTGAAGCTCTGTCCCCACCTCCACCCGCGCAGGGTGCGGGAGCCAGCTCGGGGCAGAGGAATCGGCCATCTGGGTCTCGGTGGCTCCTGTGGCCCTTCAGTGCTGCTGCCACCAGGAAGGGCGGCTGGGCTGTTGGTTCGGGTCGGACATAGAACGGAAGTCCTGGGAGCCCGGCAGAAGCCGCCTCCATGCACGTCGCAAAACCAAGTCATCAGAATCCAAGGGACGCAGCCCAAACCCTGAAATTCACAGGAACCTCAGAAAGTGACATGATTGTCCCAAATCCCCAGTGTAGTTGGCTGCAGAGCCAGGGCTGGAAGTCAGGTCTTGGAAAATACAGTAAGAGTTCATAATAATCACGGCCGGCCAGGCGTTAGGATTACCACGTGCCCGGTACAGGCATACGGCTGAGCCCTTTCCTCACATTGCTTCAGTTAATCCTCATAAAAACCCTTTAAGTTAGATAATAGTAATAACAGCATCTATTCCCATCTTACAGTTGAGGAAACTGAAGCCCAGAGAGGTTCTGTAATTTGCTTGAGATCACACAGCCGGCAAATGGAAGGGCAAGTAACACAGTCAAATCCTGATCTCTTTCTAAAGGCAGGGAAAGAGGGCTTCGCACTCATATCGCCACCATCTTTGTGCTGCCAGTTCATTCAGCATTCAAAGTGAAGCACTTATATACTAAATTACCAAGTCCAGTGGGGCTCCATCCTCCCTCCGGCAAGCCCACCCTAACATCCAGCTGACTGGGGACCTTTCCAAAGCCCCTGACCTGCTAACAGCCTGGACGTGGTTCCTCACCAGTTCCAGGCTCCCCGAGCGCAAAGCAGCTCTCTCCCCAGTGCCCGACTCACACCAGCGCCCAGCACAGTGCATCCGGCCAGACGGGACACGTCGGATCCACTCTCAGCATCCTGCCCCGGGGCACCCACAGCACCCCCCAGGAGGACAGTATGTCACCGCTGACCCCCCTCCCCCAGGTCACTGTGCTGAAAGCAGAACAACCAACTGACCTGGTTCCCAAGGGACTGAGACCCTGGGGGCTCGGGACCTGGGGTGCCAATACCAGAAAAGCCCTGGGACCACTGGGTCACCAGACAACCCTGGAAAAGGAGGTGGCTCAGGCATTAAGGTCAACCAGGTCCGGGCCAGACCTGGGTTCACCCACGGGACAGCCTTGAGGGCCACCTCCTGTCTCCCACACTCAGCTCCAGGACACCCGCAGTAACAATGCCGAGGGCCTCGTGGTGCGTGGCAACGGGACCAGCGTGGGAAACAGCCTGGCACTGGCCCTGAAAAACCATCTGTGGGACAGGTCGCAGGACTGGACCCGCCCCAGCTCGGCCACGGAGCCAGCAGCCTCGCTAGGAACGAGATCTTGTGGGGACAGACTGAGCGTCCCTGAGGCCAGACCCTGAATCT